AAGATTGTTATGCAATTTGGAGGTTCTCATAACACAGTAAAATCCCCAGTGGTTTCTGCTAAAGCTTACAGTGGAGTGATAAGAAATTATGGATAACAGTGCTTTGGTTCCATAGAGGGAATCCTGACAAAAAAAAAAAAAAAAAAGAAGAAGAAAAAGAAAAAGAAAATAAACAAAAGCAGAAAAGCTAGAAAATTCTTCAAGGTCAGCAGAGTCCTGGGATAAAATTATACTGCTTCCTTAAAATTCATTGCTCCTAAGGCCTACATTTTCTGTCCAGTTTAAAAATGGGCAAAGAATTCAACAATAAACATTTGAGGTGAAAAATGGTAGACAAAGGTTAGTCAAACTACATGGTACCCATTTCAAAATTTAGAGTTATGGGGGATCAAATATATTTAATTTTATGATGATAAAAAAGAGGCTTTGGCTTAATATACTTCTTGATCCCAGGGACCTCAGAAAGAAAAGTGGGACATGACCTGTGGCCTCAGGCCCGCTTTCTAGAAATGGGAAATTCTAATCTGGCTCCAACCCCCATCAACCCTGATCCCTGCCTACTGGATTATTTACTGGATCTTTCTCTGCCCTGCCCTTGGGACCTATCTGTTTCTGGCATTAAGGTTCCTGTCCTAGTCTAGAGTTGTCACTGCTCACACCTTGTCTTGCAAAGTTTCTGGGAGCTCAGACATCTGAAAGTCTCTGAGAAATTACAGGTAGGAGAGAAACATGGTCAGATAATTTTAGATTGACTGGCTGTGGCAACATGGTAGAAAATGGATTGGAGCAAGCTAAGGGCAGTTAGGAGACTATTACAATTAATCAAATGAGGCCCAGGGTAGAGACTCTAGAAATGTGGAGGAAGGGATGTATTTGACAAATGTCTATGGGACAGAACTGGTGGATCTTGAATAGTTGCATCTGTTGGTGAGGGAAAAGGAAAGAGTCAAGATTGAGTCCTAAGTGTAGCATTTGACTGCCTGGGCACATGGTCATGGGATTAGCTGGAGAAGAAATAAGGAGCAGAAACACATAAGAGGAAGAGGGTCCGTGGAAAGGAAGTTCAGGGAAACTCATGAGGTTAGTTTGGGTTGTACTGACTTTGAAATGTTGGAAGGAGATTTACATGGAGCTATTTAGCAAGTTGTTGGTTAAGTGATTTTAAAAGTCTAAGACGAGGTTAGCATTGAGGACTCAGATTTAGGGGTCTTCAGCATTTCTAGAAGGCAGAGTTCAAAACCATGAAAGTGGATGAGGTTGCTTAAGGAAATCTTATATGAATGAGAAGTTAAAAATGAAACCCTGGCTCAGCAGCCTGTAGAAGCAAAGAAGAAGCAATGGCCAGAGACATCAGAGGAGAACCAGGAAAACCTTGGGCAGGAGTCACAAACTGAGAGCACTTAGGACAAACTGGGTCTGATATTCAAATACAGGGAGATTGCCCATTAAAATGCAAATACTTAGCTTAGCTTAAAAAAATTGGAAGGTGAGGCCACCTTGGGTCAGTATGCCCATGTAGCAATAGCTGTCTGGAGTTCAGCCATGGCTGCCCTCCTTAGACAAGGCTGCCAAGGTACCCCCTCTCCCTATGACTGATTGATCTCATACTCAGGCAGAGCTGTTACTATTATTGCATGAAAATATCTCTCATTTAAAATATAATCTCCAATATCATGTGTATTAATATTACATGACTATGTTTGTGACATGATAAATGTAGACCAAATCTGATATATTTCCAGGGCGTTTTGCTTGACCTTCATCAGCTTTATTCATTAATGTGACTTAGCCGGCTTCTCTGGACTTTTGGGTTTACCATCCTGCAAGAGTTAGAAGCTAAGGAAGTAGAAACTTGAAAGAAATAAGTTATGCCAAATGAAACAGAGTGGGCCGGAGACTTGTACTATGGCCTTGATAATGTTCTACATCCTTTCTGGAGACCTGGACTGAATGGCCACATTGTGAAGCCACTTGAGGTAGAGGGATAAAGGCGGCTCATGTGATAAGCATCTAGCGGGTGTCGCACACTATTTTAGGTATGTTACACATGTCATTCCATTTAACACAACACCACTGGGATGTACGTATTATTTTCCCCCTTGGTAAAAGAGGAAATCAAAGTTCAGAGAGGTTAAGTAACCTAACACACATAGCTAGTAAGGGACAGAGCCCAGCTTTGAACTCAAGTTTAATTCTAATGCCCACTATTCTTTCCATGATACCAAGCCACCTTCCCAGCAATAGATAGAGCAACAGAAAAGATTCAGTAAGGTGGAGAAATTTGATTAAAAGAATCCATTTCAATTGCATAATAGCCACTACACATGCCAATCAAAAGTTCAGATAAAAGGAATCTATGATGGCATATCAAAGTGTAAGAGTGACAGTTTGAGAAAAAAAGTATAGCCATATTCTGGACACCACTAAACATCAACAAAGTAATAGTGTTCTCTCTCCAGCTTTCCGGAAACTTATGGAATTTTAACCCTTGGCAAAACATCAATTTACACAAAACTTAAGATGTGCCTAGGCATTATTTAGTATAATTGTGAAGCAGGAAAAGAATGAAAAAAAATTAGAAGAAATTTGGTGTTAAAAAGAAGCCACCTGCTTAAAACTCTCTAAGAAAGGGAGGGAGTATATATCATTATTTAGTAATTTGGCTATTATTAGCTGGGTAAAAATTATGATCTCATATGTGTTCTTGTTGAAAATGCTCAAATACTAATCATAATATATGTTATTGAATCAGCAACTATTGTAATTCTGATTTTATTCTATATATTTTAGCTTATTTTTCAATTCTCTAAAGGATTCAGTCATATTCTTAATTAACTTAGCTCTTATATTTTTTTCTAGTTGGCAAATCTGAATTTCAGCAAGTTAGCTGGTTTTGCTTTTGATTCAACTAAGTAGGATTTATCAAGTGTTTCTTTCTATACTTTGTATTATAACTCACTCTTTTCTCAGAGTCTAGATTGTCGTTCAATACAGTAAGATTGCATTATTTCACTTGTTCAGAATTTATCATCTTTTAAGGAGAGAAAGGCTGATATGAAGGGAAATCAACACTGTGGACAAGAGAAAATTCAATTTCTCCCAGTGAACTTGGGAATTGCTTTGTTAGTAAATGAGCAAAGTGACTAAATGTTTATGGAAATTACATGACTATGTTTGTGACATGAATAAATATAGACCAAATTTGATGATATATTTCCAGGGTTTATTAGTCATAGTCAAGGTTGGCCCCTGACTTGTGAATGACCTGGGAATGACATATTAGCTGAAATGGGTAAGCATCTGGGAAAAGAAAACCAGGCTCAGATGTATTGTTACAAGGTCTAGATTTGCAGGTGCGTACATAAAGACACCTTTCCGTACACATTCCTAAAAATTATCTCCCTGATGAAAATTAGCTGTACCACAGTGTAGAGTTAAATGTAGTCTTAGACATGACTTGAAAGTCTAGGTCAGAGACCTAAGAAATTATTTGATCCAGCCCCTGCCTTCAGACAGGTAAGGTATCATCAACTGTTTTTTATAAGTTCAGCAACTGAGGTCTTCAGGTAGGTACTTTGTTTTAATAAAACTAAATCCCTTTATTGAAACAATGTGACTCTTTCCATTAGGCAGATGGGTTTTCTTCCTATTTAGAGCAGATTTTTGTGGCCTCAGTGGACATGTCAGAAACTTCTTATATTCCAAAAAGCCTATGAGTCAATACATTTATGTGGCAAGCAAGCCACTGCTTTAAGGTAAAATTTCTGATATAGAGCTAGTGTCCATAGTGTCCACAGATATTTGGAGATGATGCCAGCATACCTGTGAGGAATCACAGAAGTGCTGACTATGAGACATATAGGCTTAAAATCATAGAGGTGGATAGTCAAAGGGCCCCCATATAGCATTACACTCAATACTCAACCAGATAGAGAGGGAAACAGACTGGAAGAGATTATGTTCCCAAAGACAGAGTGAAAGAACAGTGCTCAATCAAGATTTGAGTTTAGTACTCCCAAATCCTAGTCCAGTGCTCTTTCTGTAATAATTAAGCTGTCTCACTCAGAAAAATGATTTTTTAAAAAATTCCTACATCTTTAAAAATGAATCTGCACTAACATTTGTAAAAAAAAAAACAAAAAAAAAAAAACCTGTTACCATAGCGTCACATGAAAGACTGGCTTTGATTTTGATGTTTTTCATTGTTATCTATACTGATGATGAACAAAATTGTAGTATTCCAGGTTGTATTAGACAATTGCCCTCTTAACCATTTAGGGAATTGTCTTTGAATAGACTTTTAAAAATAAAATAAAATTCTGTTAATGATGCGAAATGGTTGCTATAAATCAATGTTGTAATAAGCATTTTTTATATATTTTTGTTCCCTGAGGAAAAATAATGGCTTGTCAAAAATACCTATCAAAAAACATCAAGTACACTAGATTCCTTTCCTTTTTCAACAACATCTGTCTACATATTCAAAACAAAGACGAAAAGAACTGGATTATGTCAGGTTCTCAATTACTTTTTATTGATTTAAACATTGAAAGTAAATAACAAGCTCTATGTATTAGTCAGAGTCAAGGTTGGCCTGACTTGTGAATGACCTGGGAATGATACATTAGCTGAAGTGGGTAAGCATGTGGGGAAAAGAAAACCAGGCTCAGATGTATTATGTTACAAGTTCTAGATTTGCAGGTGCATACATAGACACCTTTCCATAAACAGGTATTATACCTGGTACATTGTGTCATTTGAACAAGAAGTAACTCAAATTTAAATGCAATACAGTGGAAACTTCAGCCTTGTCAATGTGAGTAAATGTGCCCCAGTATTGAATATGCATGTACAATGCAGCTTATTCACACTGGAACCTGAAACATGTGTTAGTCAATGGCACAGGGCCAGCTTTGCTATTAATGCAAGTAAAAACAGAGAGCATCGCATCTTATTGAAGCAGTCCAAGAAAACAAAGCAAAACCAACTCTTCAACTCACCGTTCCTGTTGTGCCCAATGAAAGATGATTCATCTGTTGTGTCAGGGGGCCCATCATGTTTGCTGGCTGCATTGACATAGGATGGTCCATTGTTGGCGTAATCACAGCACCCTACAAGCACACACAATGTCCATCTGAAAACAGGTTCCACAAGGAAGGAAATTTTAAAAACAATAAACACAGTGAACTATCTTAACATCAAATGTGTTTATTTTTTAATGAAAAAGCTAAGTTCAACCATGTATGATTTTTTACATCCACCCATGCCATTTTGTCCTTATCTAAATAGAGAGCATTAATGACTTCGTTTCCTCTGATGTGATTTATCTATGTTGTGTCTAAAGTGCTTATCATTTATAATTCCAATATTCAATATAGAATGCATTCCAAGATATCATATATATATATAGGGTATATATATATATCCTCTTTCATTGTTCTAAATACAAACTCTAACTGAAAAATACTAACACTATGGAAATTATCTAGTTTTTCTCAATATTGAATAAGACTTTTTTGGCTTATGCCTTAATCCATGATTTATATGGATAATTATTGATCATTTCAATACAATCTACCACCAGAGGAAGAATGGTGGCCCAGGTGGTTTCTTGACTGGATCTTTTTGAAGGACAGAGTAAAATCTAATATAAATGATATAAAAATCAGACTTACTATTTTCCATGTTTTTTCCTCCTAATCTTTTGACCTACTTTCTTTCTATCTGTGCTTTTGAACAAGACAGAATACTGAACTCTGTTAAATGCTGGTCAAATGCAACACTGCTAAAATATTACCAAAAAAAAAAAAAAAGTCAAGTTTTCAGCGGGTATTAAGAAAGACCTACTTCTAGAATATGCTCTTTGATTTATTATAACTGTTGGGAATGGAAAAAGTAATAGGCATTTAAAAAAAAACTTCTGTTCATGTACAAAGTTTCACATAGCTAGTGAAGCAAAGGGCAAGCGCTTCCTTTTCCTCTCTCCTACTTATTCTACCTTAATTGACTAGCTGAGAGAATGGAACAATTTTTTTTTTAATTGAAAAGCTAGGGTGGATAGAATCTTCGAGATTATTGAAATTTCAATGCTTTATTTTAAAGATGATCATACATGTAGAAGCTCATGATATCACAACTCATTTAAATACCCACTGGTAATAAAATGATGATGTATCTGAATGCTATTTTTGTCTGTAAACATTTTTCTCACTGTGTGACTTTTTCCCCATATACGTGAACATTTTGAAGAAATAAAACTAGGACAGATTCATGTAGATGGCAGGATCTCAGCACCCAAACTACCCATAAGCAAATGTTTCTTAGAATGTTTTGCTCAGGATGATCAATTCCTCTGGTATTATCCAAATCTGATTTCCTGACTGTATCTGTTAAAAAAAAAAAAAAAGATCAGGCTTTCATTCATCCTTCCTTGTGGGCTCCTCCTCATTAATATGGAGGGAGAATAAAAATTGAGTCAAATATTTGGAAATGCTTGATTTTCAGAGCCAACGTTGTTTGCAAGGATATTTGTGCTTTTGAGCTAGAATCAATCAGAAAAAAAAAATATATATATATGTTATTTTAAAAGTCTGTAGCTTATAAATATACATAGCTGTGCATTAGCGTTGTTTTAACTTCTTGATGTGTCCATGAATTGTCATTCATCAGTATACTTCTTGAATCAGAAACATGATAAGATAAGCTTTTACCTAATTATAATTCAGAGACATATCATTTTCTTTTCCTGCTGCCTGAATTTCTTTAAACAAAACCACCTTAACTTTTTCCTTTAAAAAAACAAAAACAAAAACAGCTTCTGTCCTTTATTTCCGGTATTTGTTGTGCCAGACCAAGAGTAAACACTTTAAAGAGAACTGGGTCCTTCTTAAAGCACTTAGGGATAAACTACAGAAAAACTTCAGAGTTAAGACGGAAGTCCTGAAGCTTTTTTTTTTTTCAACCAAGAAGTGGCACTTTCACAACATTCTAATCCTTAGCAGGTGCAAGACTTCAATACTGTTCCTGAACTTGAAACTTAGACTACCTTCTTAGAATATTGCCCCTAGAAATTCCAACGGCTAAACTGTCACAATCCCGGAAACCCTCCTATTGTAATCAACCTGCTCTAGCTACATAAAGGATTGCTCGTCATAAATCTGAAATAAAGACCAAATTGTGTTTGGTAGAAAAAATTTTCTTCTCAGTGCCCTAGAGGTGACCTCATTCTCCAGTGGTGCAAGAGGTAGACTTCAGTCTTTGTTTGGGAGGCAATATGCAAATGAGATATGTGAGCATATGACAGATGAATCAAAATCCATGCATGATAAGAATAGAAGGATTGAATGCCGGCATTTGGAATTAATTTAGGAAGGATTGTTTGGTCTCTTTACAGAATCCTTTCTCAGAAAGTGTTTGGGGACTCATTTGATTACAGATGACACAGAGGGAGTGCTGCTTCTGTGGATAAACCAGAAACTGACAATCAAAGGGAAGAGTAGGAAGGGAGTTGTCATAATTTGGAATTGTAAATAGCAGCAGTAGGCATAAAGTGGAAAACAATGAAGGGAAACATTCCTTTCTGTTCACCAGGCCACTTACTGCAAATAAATGAACAATAAAATAAGGATTCTTGGGGGAGGACAGAGCCACTGTCTCTGCTTCTTCGTGTTCAATGAAGAAAGAATTCCCGCAAAGTATTAAGAACATAAATTCCTTAATAGTTTCAAGGGAAGAAAGAAATTTACAATCAGTGAATAAATTGGAAGTTGTAGACAGGAACCCCCCAGAGAGGCACATCTTCTTGATGATACTTGATCGGGGACAGACAACTTAGAGAGTTTGAAGTGCAGGTTATCTACAACAAAGACTGGTGTTTGTCAACCACTTTGCTCATCAAAGATTAATTCTCCTCTGTGTTGTGTAGGACATTAAAAAACAAAACAAAACAAAACAAGGAAAAGAGAAAAGACAAAAAAAAGAACAAAAAAGGAAAAAAATAAACCTGTGATTCATAAGGCAAAACTAGTGCCCCCAACCATGACTGTGCCTAATTAAATATACTGTCACATCTATTCCTATCCAATGCATTTTAGCCATAGATTGAAGAGGGTTTTGTGACAGATGTTGCCAACACATTAAGGGTAATTTCATTTACTCCAAATGTACAGAATGTGCTGTCTGACGGAGTTCACTTGGCAAATGGCAAAGCAAGAGGAAACAGATTTTTCATTTTAGCATCTCCGGATGTCTGGGTTTGTTCAATATTTAAGTTGCAGAGAAAAATACTGTAACATGCTGTAATTCCACTAAAAAACACAATGACCAAACAGCTGATGGGAATGTCTGGTCTATTTTAGCCACTGACTGCAAAAACAAAGCTGTTCACACTCAAGAGATATGGGGTGGATCTGGTCACCCTAGTTCTGAAATAAACAATTTCAACAGTAATTTGGACAAAGTTTCCAAAGATCATTGATGTAGAGTAAACATCTCTGAACTGAAGCCAAAAAAGCATCTGTGTTGTTGACCCCCTACCAGTATTTTAAAGAGATTTTAAGTCTTGGAGAGTTCATCAGTATTTTAATTTTCCAACTGAAATAAGGATTGTTGGCAAATAAATCAGGGGAAACATGTAGAAGTTCTCTCCTACCAAGAGCACACATGGTGGGCTGAGAACCTATATTAAGGCCAGGACATGTACTACAATGAGAAGAATTGCCTGTACGAATATTCCTGTGAGTGTGAGTATTCTAGACCAGTGTCACCTCAATACTACCTGTGGGCCAGCAGCAGTGACAGACCAAGAATTGGAATTAGCATCCCTGAGCTTTGGGTCTCGAAATCTGTGTTTCCACAAGCTCTCCACTTGATTCTGGTGTCCCCTGAAGTGTGAGAAGAGTGCTCTTGCCTATAAACCGCTATTGTATAGGCCAATGTCACAGATACAATGTCTTAGATACAAAAACTTGGTTTTATTTTTTTTATACCATGTCTCAATTATTTGTTTTAAACCAGGCTGGTGATAGGGCATGATTAGAGCAATAATCACATTATATCTTGTTTAAAAATGCAAAAAGGTCAAGCCTGCATTTTTGATCAGCTGAAATGGGATGATTGTCTGAATAATTCAGGCCTAAGCCTGATGACCTGACATGCTTCCATTTGACCAGTGTGGCTTATGCTGTAGCATATTTGAGAATCCCTCCTATTTGGAATCTTACTAAGGCTTAAATGTGAAATCATAAGAATGTAAAAGGTAAGAAAATTATTTGGATAATGCAAGTGGAAAAAAACCCCAGAAATTTCACTCTCTTTTTTCCTTTTCTCATAACTAGATGCCTCAGGTCAAAATGTTTGTGGCCCATACTAAACTCTTTTCCTACAGTGACTTACGCAAAACTACAGGACTTTTTCATAGTAATCATTCAACACAACTTAAAAAAAAAAACACGGTTTAAAATCATTGATCTTTGTTCTCATCTGTATGTTTTCTGCTTCTCTGTCAGTTTTTAATATTTCTAGAATAAATGTCTAGTTGAGCTTGTGTACACCAGACTATTTTTAGCACATGTAAAACACAGTGCAAAGAATGATAGGAGCTCACAAGGAAGCTAGTTAGTGTCAATGATTTTCCCATAGCAACAATGATTTCATAATAGAAATGGCATAAAGGTGTATCGTTTAACTTGGGGAAGTGCTACCCAAACACAATGTCCTGAAATGTTAATGTGCAACATTCCTGTAGTATATGTAGAGATGTTTAATTTTTTTCAATTTGTAGATGTTGGCATGTTTTTTATTGTTGTTTTCTTTCTTTCTCTTCCTTCCTTTCTTTCTTTCTTTCTTTCTTTCTTTCTTTCTTCCTTCCTTCCTTCCTTCCTTCCTTTCTTTCTTTCTTCTTCCCTTCCTCCCTTTCTCCCTTCCTCTCTTTCTTTCTTTCTCTTTTTTTTTGAAGGCAGCTGGTTGGCATGGTTTAAGAAAGGCTGCCATGGGGAGAGAAAAAAAGGGAGGCAGAGAGGCCTCCATCCTTCCATACACTCATTAATCCTCAACTATCTTGATAATTTTTCAACCAACTTAGAGGAGGCAGTCTGGCTTTTTAAACAATTAT